GGGTTCAAATCCTGAGCATTTGGCAAGGTGTTCAGTGTCATCACTATACCATCTGACTCCTGTGCTGGAAAAGCTATATGGCCCTGCCCACTCCTCCCCCCCCCCCCCCGTCAGGTGGATAACCAGTCTGAGAAGGAGGTTAGTACTGTAGGAGTCACCTGCCCAAACCTGGCTCAAAGCTCCATCCATCTTCCCTACAGAGCTGGGAGAGGCTTCAGAGACTAAGCTAGTAGGTCTTGTAGGTGACTCACCTTTCCTCCCTAACCTCAAGGAAGATTAGGATTTCAGTTTAGCACTGCCAATATAAAAGAGAGATGGGGGGAGGGGGACCCACAGAGACAATATGTGATAAGAGACAAATGCTGAATTGGTCACTGAGATACAGCAAGGAAGAATGAACTGTGAGAGTGTCAGAAAAGAATCTGGAACCTAAATGGACCAAAACACTCATTGGCACATGACTCAACTATACAGTCCCATAGGAATAGAACTATTTAAAATCTGATATTCTTTCATAAATCCAAAAATTTTAAATTAAAGTATTATTAAATTAAGGGTCTCTTTACAAGAGACAGAACAACAGAGTATGCTGGAGTACGTCTTCCCGCTATGCTCATCCCCATCAGATTCTGGCCCCCTTAGCTAAGGAGGGATTCAGAGAACTGAAGAGAGCTTGGACGAGGGTGAAAATAGTCTGTGGAATTATGGAGCTGATGGGGGAAAAGGAACCACCAAGTGATCCCAAGAGACAGAGGACTATTGTCTGTAATGAGCTGGCCCTGGGTGGGGCAGGTGGAAAATTCCTATGGGGACATATAAGAAATCTAGAATCCTCCCAGCACAGGGATTCTAGAGTCTTAGACTCCATCCTCCGGCCCCTGATTCCCAAAGGCAGGTACTGCCTTCCCCAGCATCAATTGAACTGAAGCATGGCCTCTAGTCCTTGCCCTGTCTTCTTCCCTGGTCCCCAGTTCTAGTGATTCCACTGGGGTCTTGCCAAGTTGAAACCACACCCCAAATAGGACTAAACAGGGTAGCAATAGGAAGATATTAAGGGCAAAGAGGCACCTTGCCACATTCTCCTTTGTTCATGGCAGGGCCCGGCCCTTCCTAGGATGATGCCATGTCAGTCCCTAATGATAGGAGACAAACTATACTCCCTTTCCAGCTGATTTATGCCTTGGTTTGGCATCTTGAGCTCTTCATGATCGGCCCTCAGTCTATGTCTTCAGCTATTACTCTTCTTTGTACAACCTATGTTTTACCCAAACTGGATGACTTAGCTAATCCTCAACTTCTGCCTTCCATCCCCCACCTCTATACAATTACACGAGCCATCCCCCCATGCCCAGAAGGTACTTCCTTCTCTCTCTGCCTTTTAGATTTCCTATCTTCCCTCCAGGCTCAGGTTGGGTGCCTCCTTACTTGTGAAACCCTCCCTGATTCACCCAAATCCACCCCCCCCCCCGGATATAAGCACTCCGTTCTTCTTTTAGCATGTCTAGAGGTCTTAGTCTTAGTGAAAATCTTTCCTTCGCTCCCTTTACCACTCATTACCTTGTATTATGCCTATGTGTACATGTTGGGCCCCCTCAGCAGAATGTGAGCTCTTTGAGGGCAGGGAACCGTGGGGTTTTTTTTTTCTTTGCACTCCCAGGTCTGGTCATGGTGCCTTGTGTGTGGTCAGCACTTAATAAATGTTTGTTGAATTGAACTGAAGTTTTGTGCCTCTGGCTCACACCTGATTTTTGTTGTAGGAAGGTGAACAAGTGCTACCGTGGACGATCCTGCCCCATCATTGTGCATTGCAGGTAAAGGGGTGTGTGTGGGGGGGTGTCTGTTATTAAGTACAATCAGGATAAGAGTGGGGGGCGGGTGTTCAGGTTATATATCTAAGGCTGCTCCTTCTTGTAGTTCCCTACCCCACCCCACTGACCCTTTCTCATCTCCTCACATTGGGGTGGGAGGAGTGAACAATAGAGGTAATAGAAAATTAGAGAAATCATTCTCTAATAATAGAATTATTAATGCAGATGCTCCCAGAACAGCTCTGGGAAGGCCCTTTGATTTAATCCCTAATTTCCATGCTACATTTATCTGCCTTCCCTTCAACCTTTGATCTCAGCCCTCAAATCTCTGACATGAACACACATTTCCAACCCCAATCTGATCTTCTGTACTCCTTTCCCCTTTCAAACTGGACCTGTGCTCTCCCACACCCCCTCCCCCCAAACATTTCATTTCAGTGATGGAGCAGGGAGGACTGGTACTTACATCCTCATTGACATGGTGCTGAATCGGATGGCAAAAGGTGAGGCTTTTTCCTTCCCTTTACCTCACCTCCAGTTTGTCTTCAATTGCTCATCTGAGCCCCAAGTCTTCCCAATTTCTGTCTGTAAAATCCAATTCTACCGCTGCCTCTAGGGCCACGGGAGGGACAGGTTGATATACCCCCAATGTTTTCTCTCAATCCCCCTCTGGGAATACCTAACATTGCCAGAGACCCTTCTTCCTCAGGGGTCTCCTTCACTCCCCCTAAATTCCCTATGTCTTCCCTTCTACCAGGAGTGAAGGAAATTGACATTGCTGCTACCCTGGAGCATGTTCGAGACCAACGTCCTGGGCTTGTCCGAACCAAGGTGTCTCTCTTTCCCTTTGTCCCCGGGCTCATCCCATCTCTCAACTTCCCCTCCCTCTCTCCCTGGCTCTTTCTTTTACCATATGCCCACTTCTTGGCCCCTGAGGCAGCTGGTATAGCTGATATCCACAAAGCAATCTGCACCCCCATCCCTGCCTCTCTCTTGCATGTCTCTATCCCTGGATCCCAGCTATTCCTATCACCAGTCCCCAAATCATGCAAGCTCTTCTTCCTGGCAGGGGGTTTCCTATGTCCTCCAAGGCCTGACCCTGATCCTCTAACACAATTCTCCCTCCCTCTCATCAGGACCAGTTTGAATTTGCACTGACAGCAGTGGCAGAGGAAGTAAATGCCATCCTGAAGGCTCTGCCTCAGTGAATGACCCTGCTGTTTCTGCTTCCTGCCCCTCCTGTGGGCATGGTTCCACCCCTGTGCTCCTTCATGGTCTGTGCAAGCATCTCTGTCCTATGCCAGCAGCCCCTACTCTGTATCTCCTGCCCCCCACTCTACCCTGGGCTTCTCAGAGCTGAACCTGAGCCCCTCTCCAAAACACGGAGTGGGAGTCAGACCCCTCTCCTACACACCCCAGGTCTATGGGTTCCCACATTCAGGAACCCCAGGTTCCACTAAAGGGCAGCTGTCTGCAAGATAAGAGAAGGGGAGGGGGGAAGGGAGGGCATAAATTTACACCCACAGGCTTCATCCTCTGCCCTTCCAGCTCCTGTCCCCCCAAAGGCCCCAGGTCATGAGGGATTGCCTATAACTTATGGTAGACCTTCAGTATGAGTAAAAGTGTTGGGGGGGGCGGGTCAGGGGAGTTTCCAGCTTTGACCCCCATTCCTATCTAACCATCCTCCCAACCCTACTCTAATTTTCCCACCTTATAAAAGCTTTAGCCCTGCCCTGAGCCAAAACAGCTGCAACCCAACCTCCCCTTGGGGAGGAGGGAGTCAGGCTCTCGGCTCCAGGACTGTGGCTCTCTGGCATCCTGCCCTTTCTGGGCCGTCCCTTTTCCCTCTCCCAACTCCCCAACCGCCCGACCAACCGTCTGCCCCTTGACTCCCTTTCCCTCCAGTGCTACATCAACCTTTCTAGAAAGATCTAATTTTGTATCACTGTGAATAAAGTCCATGTTTTGTCTGTGCCGCTGCAACTCTGGCTCCTGCCTATCTCTGTCTGCCTGACTTCCAAAGCCTCACCCCCAGCCTTGTCTCTCTCTCTTAGTTCTGGGGCTTGGTTACCTGCCAGGTTTATCTTCCTCTCATTAACAGAAAATTTTAATAGCTCTTTCCTCGGGGTCAATGAGTCAACCTCCCTCCTCTACCTTCTGGACCACCTTGATGTCCTATGGTCCCAAATATCACCCCAATCTCTCCACCACTGGAGGTCTTCCATCCACGAACCCCCAAACTGAAGCAAAATTTGTTTCATATACTGCTTAGCAGGAAGAGACCTTTAGAGCTCATGGCATATGATGCTTTCATTCTACAGATAATAGAAACTGAGGCACAGAAAGGGGAAATTTTCCCAAGGTCCCAGGCAGCATCAGAGGTAGGTTTAAAACCAGAGCCTGCCAGTTTTCTGTTGAGGGTTTCTTCCGCCACAAGACACATGTGCCACCAACATGCTAGACAGATTCACTTGTAGTCCTACAGCTACACATTGGGATGCTGGTTTTGAGAAGCGTCAGTCAGGGACGAACACTGCAACCGATCTTTCCCCTTCAAGCCTGCCCAAGCAGGTGGTGCTGAATCCAATGTTGGCTAGATGACACAGACACTCCATGTAATTACACTTAGGGTTCCTGGAGGGCATCCCCAGGTCCTGGCTCAGCAGGCTCACCTGAAGGTGACCAGCTGCCTAAATCTGTAATAGCTCACATTTAAAAAGCACTTTAAGGTTTGTAAAGAGTTTACACACATTCTCATTTCATCTCAACCCAGTTAGATGCTATTATCCCCATTTTATAGATGGAGAAAAAGCAGCTCAGATAGGTTATATGTATGACCTGCCCAGGGTCACACATCCAATGAGTGAGGGGAGATTCAAACCCAACATCAGAGGTCCTGTAGCCTATCCAATATGCCACGCTTCCTCACTCTACGCTCAGTGAGCAGGTGCTATTACCAGCCACGCGGCTGATTTTTCTAGTTCCAACATCAGACTCAAGCCTCAGCTTCTGATGAGTACCACAGAGGGCTCAGAAACTGAACCCAACTCTGATGAGGGGAGATTTGTCCAAGGAGCAGGTCAATCTTCCACAATGCACTCATCAGACCTGAATAGGCAACAGGCTACTTTGAATTGCCTCTCCCATCTTCACCTGAGCTGGCCCGTGAAAGGAGGCTCCAAGGATAGCCAGTACAGTCTCCAAATATTATCAGGTTTATTAATTTCCAGTGTTTTACTCATGAATCTGAACTAAGCACACCCTGGCCCAGTAGGCCCTCGCAAGCTGGACCTGGGGAAGCAGTCATGCCTTCTCCACCCCTACCTCCTCCCCTCCTGGAGGCTCCACTAGGCAGAGAAGAGGAAGGGCAATTCTGTCATCATGAATGGAAGAGGGTTAGAGGCTGGACGAGGCCATACAAGCAGCAACATGCCCTTCAGCTCCCTCTCACAAGCACCATTCAACTGGACCTAGCACAACTCACACTCAGCCTGTTGGGGCCAGTTTCAGTTTCCCGTTTCGCACCCCATTCCTAACTCCACGCCGCACCCAACCAATACCCAACTGCCCAACCCATGCCCCCACCCAGCCACTGCCTTCAGAGGTCTCTCCTCGGTCAGCTGGTCCTGCTGCCCTTTGGGCAGCATGTTGGGGGTGGAGGGGTGGGGGCGGCTGCTTTGTTTTCCAGGCCCCATCCCTGCACAGATGAATAGTTTCTCCCTCCCCGTTATTTCTCCCCCACCCCCATCTTGGCTCCTCCCCCAACCAGCAGCGTCCAATGGTGAGACAGATTTGGAGGAGCCTAGGGTTCAGCTGGCTGGCTCCAACCCCAGACTCTTCCTCTCCCCAGTGTACCCACACCTCTCCACCTCTACAAGGGACAGGATCCCTCTGTGTAGTCACAGGACAGAAGAGAGGTAGCCTGTGGCTGGTACTGGTAGAAACTGCATGTCCTAAGATGCACTGCTCCCACATCACAGTTTCACCCAGGCAATTCATGAAGGGGTACATAGCATTATGGGACATGTAGTTTCCAAGGGCTACTGAACATAGCCCCCTAGGAAGTCTGTTGTCTACCACTACTAACCCACCGCCCACCTGCCCCTGAAGCACACCATCCAGGCCATGGCTCCGAGCTCAGCATGGATGGGGGAGAGGAATGGAGGGGAATCCCCCCACCCTGCACCCAGGGAAGGGTGACATCCTGAAGGAGCTTTGCGATGGCTCTGGGTCCCGGACATCCAGTTCAGAATACATCTGGGGAGAGAGCAGGGCAGGGGTGACAGGAAAGAAGGGTCAGCACCAAGCAGCCTGGAGCAGAGCACAGCAGCCAAGTCTGGGCCCCCCCCCAAAGCTTCATCCTTGGGGTTCAGATGAGGAGAGGGAATACACAGTCCCCATATGGGCTAAGCTTTGGAGATAATCCCTTACCCCAAACCATCCCTCTCTCTTCTGGGCACCCCATTTTCCAACCAGTTCAAAGGCCCAACAGAGGATAGGAACAATTAGAGGAAGGAGGGAATGGACTGGACCTGGGTTCAGAGTCAAGGGGCTACTGAGTATACTCCTTAGCCTACCTACCCTGGAGACCCACGGCCCTTCCAGCTTCTTCCTCATTCAGCACCAAGGCCTTGTGGGGGAAGAGGGAAAGGGAGGGGGTATCTTAGCCAGCCAGCCAGCAGGGAAGGGGGGAAGAGAGAGGTGTCTGAGGAAGGAGAAGCAGCAGGTACAGCTTCAAGGAATTGGAAGAGGCAAGCAACAGAGACAGTCAGATCTCATCACAGCACCTTAGTCCTCACCCCAGAACCACCCATGTGGCAAGGGGCAGATGGCCTACAACTGTACAAGAGGAACAGAAGTTGACACTCATATCACCCCTCCCCACCACCAGTCTAGGACAAATTCTCCCAGACCACAAAGTGCACCACCCTAGACAGGATCCGGGGTAACTCCAGGCTGAGACCTTGCCTACAAACCACATCATATGTACAAGATGGAAATGAGTCCCAGGGACAGAATTCTGTCTCTATCGACCAGCCCCTACCACTGTCCTCAGGTTCTCTTCCTAAAGGCCCCCACTGACCCCTGCCCAAGGGTAATCTTCCTGATGAACTTTTCCCTCCCCAATAACAAGGTCCAGGTCCCACCTGACAGAGCCTGACTCTTCTGTGCCCGACACAGGCCAAGAACAGCATCAACAGTAACAATGGCAGTAGCAAACCCCATGGTCATAGCAGACTCAAGCCCAGGTCAGGGCTAATGGTTAAGAAGGGAAGCCCAAGGGGCCACGGAGGTGAGATTGGAGCTTAGACAGTGTTAGGGGTATGAACTGAGCTCCAGCTGTGAGAGAACCTCCCAGAGAGCTGACTTAAGGTGACTGGGACCTTGTCTTCAGAGGATGATACAGCGAGACGCCTTATCCTCAGAAGCCACACTGGGCTCTCTGGCCACTCTCTGTGCCCCTTCTTGAACCGCCCCCACACCCGGATCCTGGGCCTGGGTCTCAGGATGTCCCTGCCATTGGTGGGCCCACTGCCCACCTGCAGACTTCTTCCCAGCTGCTTCCTGGGCCTGGGTCTCAGGACTCCTCTGCTGCTGACTGGCCTGCCGCCCCCCTGTGGCCTTCTTCTCTGCTGCTTTGTGGGCCTGGGTCCCAGGACTGCCATGCTGTTGACTGCCCTGCCGCCCCCCTGTGGCCTTCTTCTCAGCTACTTTGTGGGCCCGGGTCCCAGGACTCTCATGCTGTTGACTGCCCTGTCGCCCACCTGCAGCCTTCTTCTTGGCTGCTTCGTGGGCCCGGGTCCCAGGACTCCCATGCTGTTGACTGCCCTGTCGCCCACCTGCAGCCTTCTTTTCAGCTGCTTCCTTCTCAGATAGGCTATAGGCCATGGCAAGTTGTATGTCCTCATCTTCATTGTCTGAGAGGCCTAAGACATCGAAAGACTTGGGCACAGCCCCACTAGGTTCTTTGGTCAAATGCATCTGCTCTCGGCGACTCAGTTCCAACCCCAGCGCCAGGTCATCAGGGACTCCTGTAGGAGATAATCAAAGCTCTGCCTGATCTGTAGGCCAGTACCTGCCGAGGGTTCTCACCTATTTTCTGACCAGGTCCTTAGCAGAACCCTCTATATCTCCATTTGTATTGTCCCCCTCTGCGCCATGTCACCAGAGTATTCCCACAAGTAGATGGCACCTCCTCAGAGTCCTTCCCCACACCCATGGATGGCCCTAACCCTCTAATTCCTGCCCTATGGATAGGCCAAAGGACAACTTCTCCCACCCAATGAGGAGCCCAGAAAGAGGAGTAGAAGCTAGGAATTCCTATCTAGGGGCTGCACAACCATGCTACCTCTTACCATTGACAAGGACTGTCTTCAGCTGCCCATCCTCCTCAATCTCCACCCGTTCCTCTCCATTCTCCCTGATTCTGTAATAGATGGCACAGTTACTCTCACTGGGTCGTACCCCACTCACCAACATCCTCCTGCCCAGAGTCCCACAATCTCCAAACTTCTGCCCCCACACTTCACTCCCCACCCTTAGAATCAGAGCATTTTAGAGCCAGAAAAGGCTTCAAAGATCATTTGGCCCAACTCTTTCATTTGGCAGATCCGGAATGAAAAGCCATTTGGCAGATCCGGAATGAAAAGCTAAGTCTAGAGTCTTCCAATCCATGATTGGATGCTTCATCCACATCACCTGCTACAGGGAGCCCCCTACCTTCGAGTCGTAACTCGTCGGCCATTCACAAAGGTGGTAGAGGTGGTCACAGAACGTAGGGCATGGGCCCCAGGACTGAAGGAGAAGGATGAAGCAAAGGCTGCAGAGATGAGGGAAAAGGAGGAGAAAAACAGACTCATCCAATGGTTGGAGGCACCAGCAAAGAAAGGATTGGATTTAGGAAGCAGCTATGGAACCAAGTGAGCACACCTCCTGAAACTTCCTGACTAGGAAGGCTTCAGAAGCAGAGTGGAGTAGGCTGGGGAGGGGGAGGGGGCTGCTGCTGATCAATTCAGCAAACAGTGGGAAGCAAGCAGAAGGAACAATTAAAGGTTAGAGTTGAAGGATCATGGAATTTAGAGACTGGAATGCGAGAACAGCAATATCTACCTGGGTGGGAAGAGAAGGGAGATGAAAAACCAAAAAAGCCTCTGGAATGCAGTGGGCCCTGACCCGGGCCCAGGTCATCTGCAAAGAGCAAGCAATGTTGTCAGTATTGATTGGACAGAAGGAGGGAAAGATTCTCACTGGGGTCACTCTTAGCTTCCCTTTCTTTCCTGAGGACCCTTGCCTGAGAGACGCCAAAGATATCCCCCTCTTTCCCCATAGTACTACTTTGGAGCTCACCCCTGAAAATTGTTTTTTTCTTCAAGAACTCAAGTCTTCTCACTCCCACCCTTAGTTTTAAACATCACCAGGATGGAGGAGGGATATCTGATCACCTACTCACCAAAAAAGTCAGCAAATGGGTCTTGGCCCCCAAAAAATTCCCTGAAGACATCCTCAGGATTTCGAAAGGTGAAGGTGAATCCACCAGATCCAGCCCTTGGAGATTCTGAACCTGCTAAGGGGTGAAGGAAACAGAACAGGACAAATATATGGCCCATTGCTCCAGGGGAGTGCTGTATAGAAGCTTTATGCAACTGCTCCCAAGAGCAGTGAACACTCTCAAGAGAAGGTAACTAGGTAGGCTTGATCACCCTCACTGACTATTTCCCCTCCCTTTCCCACCATCTCTCTCCCTCCCAACTCTACCTACCAGCCCCAGACAGTCCATCTTTGCCATAACGGTCATAGAGGTCCCGTTTTTGCTCTAAAAAGAAAAAAATGTGAATGTCAGCTCTCCCCACAGCCATGTGCTTCCACTCCCTCCCCTGGCTGCCACAATTCTGGGACCATCCATGAGCGGGCTAAGATTGTCCCTATTGGGGTTGCCTTGGGTATAGAGTCAGCCGGTAGGAGAGGTCTAGGCAAAATGAATGGATGAATGAGGATTAAAGCCAAAAAAAAGCAAAAGAAAATTCCAGATGTCCCCTTCAGAGAGGAGGTAGAATATACATTATCCCAGGGAGACCTGCAAGTGAAAATAGAAGCAGGCAAGGGGGAAAAGTAATCTATAGTGGAAGGGGTAATGGCTACAGGAACAGATGAGAATTATAGTCTGAAATGAACCAGACTTCAGGCCCTTACTGTCTGACAGCACTTCATAGGCCTCCGCAATTTCCTTAAATTTCTGCTCTGCAAATTCCTTGTTGTCAGGATTCTTGTCTGGATGCCACTGGAGTGCCTTCTTTCTGTAGCTACAAGGGGGGGTAGGGGGCAGTGTGAGAGGGGTCCTCCTGGGCCTCAGTCTCTCTTCCCATCTCCTCCTCGCTTCTAATATTTGCCCAAGGTTACCAGAGTTCCTTCTCTCCCACTTCATTGTCCACAAGTAAGTCTTACTAGGAAATTCACCCCCACCCTCCTACTCTCTGCCTTGTTTATTTTTTGCCCCCATAGCCATCATCATCATCCTCACTGTCATCATTTAAGTGGCTTCCATCTCTTTGTGACACCATTTGGGCTTTTCTTGGCAAAGACAGTGGAGTGGTTTGCCATGTTTGTTTTACTCTGTTGTATATCCTTTCAGTGGCTATATTTCCCCTGCCCAACTAGAGTGTAAACTTCTGGAGGACAGGGATTGTGTGTAATACTTTTATATCTACCCCTCCACCCTACCCTACCCCCTCCAACAGCTAGCACAGTGCCCTGAACGAGGTAGGTACTGAGTCTTTTAATGATGCAATGAAGGGAAGAGCAGCCCCACTCTGATCCCTCCCTGGGATCACCCCAGAAGTACCAGGAGTCCTTATGCATGCCTGCAGTGGCCAGTGAGGGGACAGGACAATTGTTTTCTCCATTTTCCCTAAGTGTTGCCCCTTCAACCTCAACTCCACTTTTACTCCATCCCATGATAATCAGGGTCCCTAAGCCTGAAAGCAGGCTGCCCAGGGACATCTCCAGCAAAGAAACCTAAACTCTAATGGGATGGGGTTCAGGAAGAGAACCCTCAGTGCAAGGCACACAAGCATTTTCATAGGATCATAGCCATCAAACAGGCAGGCACCTTAGATCATCTTGACCAATCCCTTCACTTTATAGATGAGGGACTTGAAGATCAGACAGATGAACTCACTTGTCCAAGATCACACAGCTATTAGTAACAGAGTTTCTAAATTCAAACCCAGGATCTCTGACTCCAAGTCTGGTACTTTTTTTCCCCACTATATGACAACACCTTCATTTTGCTATAGCTTTCTCACATTGCTTCCTCAATCCATGAGACTTGGAGAAAGCTCTAGATTTTTCCTAGGGCCTTGTTCGCTCATTGCTGCTACCAAGCACACCCACCAGTACTGGCATGCCGGGAGGAAGTTTACTGAGAGAAGGAGAAGCCTCACTGATGCCCAGGGATGGGGGCACTTACGCCTTCTTGATGTCATCAGGGGAGGCACTTGGAGGCACATCCAGGATCTCGTAGTAGGATGCCATAGTAGCTCGTCTGTCTATCTGTCCCTAATGAGGCTGCAGAAGAGGAATTTGTCAGAGACTAGAGAGCTTCCCCAAGAGATAGGGAAGAACATAGCCCTCCGGGAAAATTCCTAGGCAGAAGGGTAGCTCGAGCCTCACTGGCTTTCAGGGTGAGCTATCCACACCATCCTTCCTCTCCAAGAAGGTGTTATAGCAAGCCCCAATACAAGCCAGCCCTGGCTGCTGCCCCCATAGCAAACAGAGCTCAGGCCCAGCTAGCCCTATCCGAGCTCCCTGCGCTCACTCCCAGCAGCCCCCTCCCCCTGGAAACTGAAGCGGTCCTTCCCCGCCCCGTCCAGGCCACCCGGGCCCCCAGCCCTCCAGTGCGGCGGAGCCCCGCCCCTCGCCCCCCCGTCTGGGGAACTGCTAACACTGGCCGCCTTCCTCCGGCTCTGGCTCCCGAACTGCGTAGCTCGGCCCCGCGCTAGCTTAGGGAAGGGGCCCGAGCATGCGCCCGAGGCAGGGAAAATACTAGACAGAATCGCTGGCTCGGGGCCCGGCTTGGAGACGGGAGGTGGGGGAGGAAGGGAAGAAGGGCGGGCCGCTGCGGCTGCTCCGAGGTGGAGGCGGAGCCGAAGCTATTTTGGGCTCGTACCATGACGACACCACCAACGGGACCGACAGGCCTAGGCAGAGACAGACACGCTCCAAGGATGACGCACGCTCTAAAACAGAGGGCCAGCCAGGCAAACAGGCTCACACAAACAAGTTGCCAATCTCCCTCTGGCATTCATTGCGTGCCATGTAGCAACAGCCCTCCCCAGACGCATACCCCTCACGCAAAATTGGCCATTACAGCCCAAGGACCCACAAACAGAAAACCTAGGGCATCGCGGCTCTAGAGTGGGAAGGGACCTCAGACGCCATCTAATCCAACCTTCTTAAACAGACGAGGAACTGAGTGAGGCTCAGAGAGTGACTTACCCAAGGTCACACAGATACTCTATTCAGCAGAGCTGGGATTCGAACCCAGACTCTCTGATTCTAGTCAGTCGGTCAATAATCATTTATTAAGTGCCTACCGTTGCCTTCTATTTTACAGGTCATGCAGCTCAGAAGAAATGGAATTTTCACTCAGGTCTCCTGTTTGCAAACCCAGCACTCTGTCTTTTTTCTTTCTTTATAGATTTGCTCTTATTTGCAGTTCCAAATTATCTCCCTCTCCCGTCCCCCACTCATTGAGAAGGCAAGAAAAATAAAATCTGTTACAAATATGTATAGTCATACAAAACAAATTTCTTCATCAGCCATGTTCCACAGAACTCTTTCCACTACCAACCCCTTCAACTCAAATTGATTTTTAAATAATATTTTATTTTCCCCCAGCTACATGTAAAGACAATTTTTAACATTCATTTAAAAAATTTTGAGTTCCAGATTTTCTCTCTCTTCCCCTCCCCTCCATTTCCCTCTCCCTGAGACAGTAAGCAATTGGATATAGGTTATACATGTTCAATCATGCAAAACATGTCACCATGCAAATCGATGTTTACAAGCATTTATGGAGTTCCAGGCACAGTGCTAGGTGTGGGGTATACTGAGATTAAAAACAAACAACACTTAAATAATCTCGCTCAAGAAGCTTAATGTATCCCCGCAATAGCAATACTGGGAGGAGAGCCTCCAAAAGAAGTTAAAGAGACGTTTACTAAATTCATTGCTTCCTCCCCAGACTTATCCCTTCTATATTGTCTCTCAACCCAGAATCACCAGGTTCCACTGCTTAATGCAAGTGTAGAGAGCTAGATCTGAGTTTCTGCTTACTTTCATCTAGTCATCAAATATTTCTTCAGCATCTGCCCTGTGCCAACACTGTCCTGGAAACTGAGGAATACAGAAAATTTCTAGATATGGCCAGGGTCCTCAAGGCCCTGCCCCCTAATCTGAAGTGTCCCCAAAGGCTTGATCTCTTTTCCTTTCTCTACACCCTCCCTTTCGCTGATGTTATCAGATCCTTTGGGTTCAATTAGCATCTCTAGGCAAATGACTTCCAGACCTATATATCCAGCACTAATCTCTCCCTGGAGTTCTAGTTAGGCATCATAAATTGTTTGTTGGACACCTCCCTGTAGATGTGCCACAGTCATTTCAAACTCAACATAGCCTAAACGGAACTCATTATCCCATTCCCCGCAAACCCCTGCCTTCCTTTCCTGCTAACTTCTCTATTTCTGCTTAGGGCATCTATCCCTTTCAGTCGACCATGTCTATGTCATAGTCTTCCTCTCCCTATGTCCTGTGAATTGTGAAGGGCCATCAGTTCTAACCCTCCCCCCTTTTCTTACATCTCTCCCATTCTTTATATTCACATGGCCTTCACCTTAATCTGGGCTTTTGTCTAGATTAGTGTAATAGAGCAGAGAAAACTAGATTACACAGTGGATAGAGCATGGACTTGAAGTCAAGATTTAAGTTTAAATCCAGCCTCAGACACTCACTAGCTGTGTGACCCTGGGCAAGTCACTTAACTTCTATTTGTCTTAGTTTCCTCATCTGTAAAATGGGGATGTAACAGCACTTACCTCCCAGGGTTGTAATGAGGATTAAATGTGATAATATTGATGAAGCATGACATAAATACTGTTATAAATAACCCCCTACTTGTATTCCCTGATTCTGGTCCCTGATCTCAACTATCTATCCTCCAAACATCTGCCTAAATTATCTTTCCAAAGTACAGGACGGACCAGGTCACTCTCCTGCCCTGGGAATCTCCTGTGGCTCCCTGATGTCTCTAGGATAAATTATAAGATCTTATGCTTAGCAGGGAAGGCCCTTCCCAGTCTGGCTCCAAGCCAACCTTTCCAAATTAATTTTCAATTCCTCCTTTTCATGAGCACTATGTTTCAGTTAAACTAGCCTACATGGTTTTCCTCAAACTTGGAATTTCATCCTTCCTTTTTACAAGCAGTAGCCTACCTCCCTTGGCTATTCATCCATGTCCCCTGCTTCTTACGATCCTCACCTTTCTTCAAAGCCCAACTCAGGCTACACCTACAGGAAGTCTATCCTGATGGCCTGAGACACTTGTGCACTCTCTCGTCAAATTATCTTACATGGACTTAAATGTAAAACTGTTGTATTTCTCCAGTAGAATGGGAGATTCTTGAGGGAAAGGACTGGTTTTTATTTTGGCTTTTTATTCCCACACCTGGCACTTTGTAGGCACTTAAATGCTTATTGAATTGAAGTTTACACCCCAACTGAAAAGATAAGAATATAAACACATAATGCTATAGCTTTTTAAAAGTTATTGAGAAAGGATAGTTAGATTTTGTCTGTCCCAGCTCCTCTAGTTTTCTGTAACCTTTAATACTTGCCCACCCTCTCCTCCTGAACCTTCTCTGCTGCTTGGGCTTCTACTCTCTCAATTTTTCTCCTACCTTTTTTCTCTGCTCCTTTTCAATTCCCTTTACTGGTTCACCATCTTCTTCCCTCCTCCTAAGTGTGGGTGTCCCCCAAAGCTCTGTCCTAGGTTTTTTCTCACTCCACTCTTTTCCTTGGTGATCTCATCCTGTTTCCATGGATTCAATTGTCACCTCTGTGCACATGACTCTAAAAATCTATGCATCCAGCCCAGCCCTAAGCACTTCTCTGAAAACTTTAATCTAAAAGCTCCAGCTGCTTGCAACACATATCCACCCTGCACATCCCTCCCGGCACCTCCAGTTCAACATGTTCCAGACCCGACAACTTCCTAAACCTCCTCTCACCTTCTCTTTTTCTATCATGGGCATGCATCAGCATCTTTCTAGTCACTCAGGGCCAAAATCTCAGCCTCATCATATACTTTCCCTTCACCCTCACATGCCATAACCAATCAATTGCCAATCCCTGTCAATTCTATTGATACATTTTCTGCATGCATTCTCTTCTCTCCACCTCCCACTACTACCATTCTAGTTCAGGTCCTCAGCACTTCTCACTTAGACTATTTGAAAAGCCTTATGCCTCTCACCACTCTAATCCTTTTTCAAAAACTGCAAATATAATCTTCCTAAGGCACAGATCTAACCATGTCACCCTCCTACCTACACTCCACCCCATCTCCCTCAAAAATCTTTGAGTGGCTCCTCACTGCTTCTGCATAGTTAAGGCTATGTGGTTAAGCACATTTATTGTCTCTTTTCCTCTCATTCACTACTACCACCATCATCAACAACACCAAGTATTTATTGAACACCTACTATGTGCAGATCACTGGCTAAATGCTGAGATAAAATGAGGTTTGCTATGGTGCCTATACCTCAGGACCTTGTAATATCTAATTTGGGAAACAGCAAATGCTTATGAAAAAGTTAAACAGGAATACTATATAAATTGTCAAAAGATGTCAAAATAAACTATATAGATAATAAACAATATAACATAGGTTATTACAAACCCCAACCCACTCTCACGTGGTTTGACATGACCCATGAGTATGACTCATGAAGCATGTGTGGAGCTGGGCTGAGTTTCCTGGCCACTTCTGGCAGGCCACTTGTGCTCTGACTTGGCACTGAGGGACTTTGTGTTTTGGAATGATTCAGCAATATCTTAGTTCCTGTGATGGCAGAAGGAGAGGGGTGATGCTTCAAAAGAGGATTGGCCGCTGAGCCAGAAAGAACCACCTCCTCAGGAAGAGATAACTTCTGCCATTGATCTCTCTTCCCACCTACTGAGTACACAGGGATTCTGTGAGGCTCTCTCTTTGACTTCCTATGAGGGGTACTTCTCTACCCCCCTCCCCCTCCCACTTCTTCATTGAATGCTCAAATACTAGAAAGTTAGAGTATATATTCATCTAAGTGAGCTTGAGTTGGGATCTTGAGGCCTGAGCTGTCTCTTTGGCTTTGTTTCTCTCCTTGAGCATAGGTGATTAAGCAGTGATCCTGAGATAAATGTTTTCTGCTTTGGAGGCTTCCTTGTGAATTCAAGAAGCCAGGAAATTCCTAGTCCCTTGGTCAGAACTGATTGGCAGCAGGAACTATATATACCCTTCTCAGAGAAGATTACCACGAATATGATAATGACCCCTACCCCTGAATTGGCTTACCAGAAGATGTGAACCTTGAGGGAGTTGTTCAGACAGTGTAGAATCAAGATGAAGGTGAAATGTCAGTTCAGAAATTCCACCGTCTCATGAGTTAGGTTCTAAGTATCAGTTTTGAAGTCTACATTTCCTGACAAGTGAGACAATGGCTTGACTTACCTTCCTATCAGTGGTCATCTTCAGGAAGAGTGCTATTCACACATTGTTCGATGACTGACTTTGATAGACTTAGCTCTTCTTAGCAATGCAAGGATCTGCCAACTGCAAAAGACTCATGATGGAAAATGCTATCCACATCCAGAGAAAGAACCATGGAGTCTGAATGCAGATGGAAGCATGCTATCAGCTCTCCTTTTCTTTTGTTGTTTTGTTCTATTTTTTCTTTTTCATGGTTCTTCCCTTTAGTTTTAATCCTCCTATACATCATGACTAATGTGAAAATATGCTTAATATGAATGTCTAAGTAGAGCCTATATCAGATTACATGCCATCTTGGGAAGGGTGAGGAGAGGGAGAGGGAGAAAATTAAAAACTCAAAATCTTATGGAATTGAATGTTGAAAACTAAAAATAAATAAATTTTTTAAAAAAAAAAAGGTCCATGGCAAGTAAAAAAAAAAATAAAGATGGCCTAATGCAAAGTGCAAAATAAAAGTGCTGTTTAGCTGTGTGACCCTGAGCAAGTCACTTAACCTCCATTGCCTCCAAAGAAGAAGAATGCTATTGCAGAAAGCTCCTTTTGCTGCTGCTCAGCTTCACATGAGGGTTGCAGGGCCACAAACATCCATGTCAGGCACCTATGCTCAAGAAAGAAACACAAGGTAATAGAGGCAGCCAGGGGCCTGAAGCCCAGGCTCAGGTTCACTCTAGCTGTCATGTGGAAGCATCAGTGCTGAAGGTTAAGAAGAGGCCTTCTTCCCCACCTTCAGAGGGAATAAAGAGAGAGTTCCATAACAACTTTCTAGAGTCTTGGAGAAAAAAACAAGAACAGAAGTTGTCTTTTCCTTTACAGTCTTCTGAATGTATGGTTCATTCTGGATCAGTGACTGATAGTCTAAAAATAAACCCCACTCCCCTTATTCCTGTCAGGGGATCAAGGAACCAATAAGGAAATTGCTTTTTCCCTTTAAAGCACAAATCCTTTAGCACTGAGCCAGGAATCACCAGAAACAGCAAAGGAAACAAAGCCTGTGAATGCACATGTTCCATAGGATGGCCCTTGCTATATAAAGAACTAGAAGCCAAGTGAGCATACATTAATTGGGGAATTTTGTCGTTCAGTCAACGTCCAACTTTTCATGGCCCTGTTTGAGGTTTTCTTGGCAAAGATACTGGAGTGGTTTGCCATTTTCTTCTCCAGCTCATTTTACAGATGAGGAAACTGAGGTAAACAGGGTCAAGTGACTTGCCCAGAGTTACATACCAACTAAATGTCTAAAGCTGGATTTGAACTCAGGTATTCCTGATTCCAGATCCAGTACTTTACCCACTGCGACACCTAGCTGCTGTATTGGGGAATACAAAACAAGAAATATAAGGAATTCAGACAAATATGGGAAGACTTACATGAACACTAAAGTAAGCAGAGCCAGGAAAACAATATGTACAAAGGTGCCGACAAGATGAATGAAAAAGAGAATACAATGAAACCAAACGCTTTTTAATTACCATGACCAAGCTTTGTCTGAGAGAAGAGATGAGAGCTGGATAGGATCTCAGCTATTATTGAGTCTGGCCCACACCCTGCACGAATGCCCAGTATAATAATGTACAAGGTAAGTGATCAAGTAGCCTCTACTTGAAGACATCCAATAAAGGAGACTCCATCACCTTTAGAGGCAATGTATTCCACTTTTGGACAGCTCTAATTGTAGAAAAGTTTTCCCCCTGACATCAAATGTAAATTTGCCTCTTTGAAACTTCCCACTCATTACTTCTAGTTACTCCTTCTATGGCCCAAGCAAAATAAATTTAACCCCTCTTACACATGATAGCCAAATACTTTTTATATAGCTGATATTTACATAGAGTTGGGAGGGGAGGGTTGCAAAGTGTTTTACCTATACTATCTTATTTAATGTGCACACCAACCCTGTGATGTAGATTCTATTATTATCCTTATTTTACAGATGAGGAAACTGAAGCTTGAAGAAGACTGTTATTGTGTCCTCCAAAGTCTTCTCTTTTCCGAACTAAACATTCCTAGTTCTTTCAAACATCCATCATATGACAAGGATTTAAGGCCCTTCCCTATCCTGGTTTCCCTCCTTTATTTTATTTTTGCTTTTTTGGTGAGGCAATCTGGGTTAAGTGATTTGCCCATGGTCACCCAGCTAGTAAATGTCAAGTGTCTGAGGCCAGATTTGAACTCAGGTCCTCCTGACTCCAGGGCTGGTGCTCTATCCATTGCACCACCTCGCTGCCCCTGATTTCCCTCCTTTAGATGGTCTTTTACTTACAAGGTCCGTTGTTAGCTCTGGTACCCAGAATGGAACACCATACTCCAGATATGATCTGGTCAGCACAGAGTATAAATCCAGGAGTCCTTGAACTTTTTATGTGTCATAGATTCCTTTGGTCATCTGGTGAAGTCTACAGACCCCTTCTCAAAATAACATTTCTTTCCTACATTTGTAACAGAAGGAAAGGCTAAATTTTAGTTAGAGGTTAATGAAATTAAGACGTCATTTTTTTTCCCCATCCAAGTAAATGAATCCATTGAAATTTGTGGCTAAGAATCTCTCTCCTCCTTATTCCTGGAAGCTACACCTGTCTTAACATAGCTCAATATCATATTTGATTTTTGGTTGCCACATAACACTTCTGACTCATATTAAGCTTGCAGTTCATTAAAACTGATTGCTAACAAACCGCTATTCTATCCTATACTTCTTTTTTAAAATAGTATTTTATTTCTTCCAGTTACATGTAAAGACAATTTTAACATTGATTTTTTATAATACTTTTGAGTTCCAATTTTTCCTAATTTGGAACAAAAATCTTGTGGAAGTGAATGTTGAAAACTAAAAAAATAAATTTTTTTAAAATGTCATAGACAAGAAAAATTTACTTGTTTTCACATGCAACTGGGAAATAAGAAATACGGGAATGGGGTATAGAAATTTATCCTGCCCTACAGGAAAATAGAAGGGGAAGGGAATAAGAGAAGGGGGGGAGAGATAGAAGGGAAGGCAGACTAGGGGAAGGGTATTCAGAATGTATGCCATCTTGGGGTGGGGAGGGGCAAGATGGGGAGAAAATTTGGAACTCAAAATCTTGTAGAAGTGAATGTTGAAAACTAAAACTAAATGAATTTTTTAAAATGTCATAAACAGTTTTTCCTATATTTCTTAAGTCGATTTTTTGAAGCCAACCATAAGACTTTACATGTATTCCCTATTGAATTTGGATTCAGCCCCATTGACCTAGCCTGTCAAAGTCTTATGTTATCTGGTCAGTTAGGTATCCTTCCCGGCTTTGTGTCCTCTGCAAATCTGATGTGAATACCTTAGCAGAGGACCAAGAACATTTCCCTGAGGCATTCAGATGGAGCCCTACCAAGGTGATGTGGAACTATTAACAACTGCTTTTTGGGTCTAAGCATTCAACCTGTTTCAAATTCATCTAATTACATTTTCATCTATTCCACATCTTTCCATCTTTCCCATGAGAATGATATGACATATTTTGTCAGACACTAGAGGTAAGCTATATGTACAGCATTTCTCTTCTCTATCAGTTTAGTAACCCTGTCCAAAAAAAGGAAATAGATTTAGTCTGGAATGACTTGTTGCTGATACATCCATGATGGCTATATCACTGTCTCCTGTGCTTACCATTTCTTTAATGATTCATTCTAGAATTTTCCCATTAATCATAGTTAAGCTCATTGGCTTATAGTTTACTGACTCTGTTCTCTTCCATTCTTGGAAAATTAGAATGAGTTTACCATTCTTCAGTCTTGTAGTACTGCCATCCTTTTCTTGGAAAGGTGGAATGAAATATATACTCTTGAACCCAGTTGAGAAATTGATTATTTTTGAAGATTTGGGGTTTGTTTGGTTTTGTTTTTGTTTTTTTAAATTGGTACTGTATAAAGCTTTCTGGGTCAGAATGGGGGGATATATTTTCAGAAAGAAATGTGATCTAAAATTCCAAAACAAACGACATCACCAAAACCTTTTCCCCCAAAGAAAATAATTTGTACAATCCCCCTGTTTCCTCATGTTTTCATGGAAGTTATTTTTGCCATTGATATAGATCTTTCTTGTAGATATTGTGTTAAGACAAGAAAGCAGGCTAGGGTTTAGTAATTATTGATGTCCTCTCTTCATTTCCTTTTTTAACTGACAGGGTACAGGCTCTGGAAACCCCACCCCCAACTCTCCTTGAATTTCCCTGTAAGGTCAAGTCTCTGGTGTTTGCCTGAGGCATAGACCCTTCCCAGTTAATTAACTGCCCTTTCATTGTCTCCATCTAGCCCCACCCAAAACCTCCATTCCTCTTACCTATCTAGTTCCCTGTATCCCTTAGCCATGTGGTCCAGGTTTTTGGCATTCTTGTCCTTTTCTGTTGCTTCACAGTCACCCCAGCTTACTGGCCACTCTCATCCAGATATTCCCTAGACCCCTCCTCATAGTTACCTCAGACTACTTGGCCACTCCTAGATCCCTTCCGTGACCTTTCTGTATGTAAGATCCATCGTGGCCTCCATGAAAGGGCTCAGATTCAATCTGGCCCTCTTCCTTAGATTCCTTAAGAATCTGGCCAATGTGGCAGATTCTTAAAATCTCACCAACCCTCCATCAGTGTTTTTAACAAACTTTGTCTTCGGCTGAAAGAAGGCTTGGGTCAAATTCATTTGGGCAGGGCCTATGTGTCACTGTTTTGGGGTCCCAGAACCCCTATGCCTCAACAAAAGCAAATGTGATTTCTTTCCTCCCCCCATTCTTTTGTCATCTGCCTTCTCAAGAAAAGTTTTTGAATGATTCTCCCAATGTTTTTAATGTTCCATCACCTCTAGCACAAATTTCTTTGGTGACTAACTGGACTGGTATAACCATTCTGCCTTACTTTGTATTTTTAAGCACTATTTCTACTTTCTCACTTAGCATGTCAGGGACTGCAGTGTTGAGTCCAAATATAGTGGTTGTACTGTCATTGATATGACAGTGATTGCATCAATATCCCAGGCCTCCTCAATAAATTGATGATTAATCAAAAGAAAAGAGCTTAACAATCTATAGAGGAAAAACAACATGGCAAAAGCATGTCTGTTTGTAGACTGTGACATGCAACTGGATAGCCAGTCCAGTGAGAGAGTTCATATATCAAAGACAGACACTTCAGGTTCATGATGAGTTGGGCTCATAATTGAACAGAAGGAAGATAGTGGGCTAGATTAGGAAGTGCTTTTAGAACAAAAACAAACTCTTTCCCAACATAAAAACTCAGTTCCCAGTAATACTGTAATATTTAAAATCTTGGAACATTCCCAAACCTCTTAAAGCAGGGGGAGACCTTGGGTGACTGTCCTCCCAATTCCTAGGTCCTTTTATCAACCAACCATTTTTCTCTCTACCTTATCTACTTCCATTCTTTCTTTCCCTTTTTCTCAGTCTCATCCTTCATCTCCCCCTTCAATGTGGCCCTAACTTCAAGCTCACCTCAGGTGCCAGGGAAGCTCTTTCTAATTAAAGCTGAAAGCCCAGAGTCCTGTTCCAGGACAGCTGTATTTCCCCTTTCCACATCAGGGTGTCCTACCTGCCTGATATTCCGATGTCTTGAATAGGGAGAGACAAATACCCTTCCCTCCCTCTAAGGTGACTGAGTCACAGTCTGGGCATGAAAGTATCAGGTGGACCCAGGAGAAAAGGCATTAGGAAAGATGGAGTCCTTCCTACCCTGGGACAGGGAGCATAACTGAGATCCAGCTACCCTACTCTTAAGAGAGGGAGAAGCAACAAAGGGACAGAGAAAGGGCTTCAGAGAAAGAGAGGTAATGAAGGCCCTGGTTCCTCTTCTAGTGATTTGATTCCCATTGTTGCTTCTGGAAGTGAACTAAGTGTTCTGTATCATTCCTCACCTTCCTTTTCACCCTCCTCTTCTCATTCCTTCTGCTTCCCTTATCTTTCAGATTATGATAAAACTCCAATTCAATTCAATTCAATTAAAGAAATATTTATCAAGTGCCCAATATAGTCAAGGTACTGTGGTATGCCTAGAGATATGCCCAGAGGATAGAAAACAAAAAACAAGAACAAAAACAAAAACAAAAAAAGAAACTAGTCCTTGTCCTCAGAGAGCTTACAGTTAAGTACAAGTAAGTACTAAGTATATATAATTTTAAAAGAAAGTACCAGTAACTAGGAAGATGAGGAAAGGTCTCAAAATGATGGATAGGTCAGGGTTGGGGCAGGTGGACCAGAGTTGCAGGGAGTTAATGGAGATGTTCAGAGAATAGAGAACAATTTGCTCCAGTTTCTTTCTCTCTCTCTCTCTCTCTCTCTCTCTCTCTTTCTTTCTTCTCTTTCTTTCTTTCTTTCTTTCTTTCTTTCTTTCTTTCTTTCTTTCTTTCTTTCTTTCTTTCTTTCTTTCTTTCTTTCTTTCTTTCTTTCTTTCTTTCTTTCTTTCTTTCTTTCTTTCTTTCTTACACTTGGTGCTCTGACCTTGGATATTAGGAGAGGTACTAAACCTGACACAGCCTTTCCATGAGGTAAGAAAAAGCAATGGAAGCTCCTTGAAGAGCATTAGTAAAATATGGCCTGTTATGACTATTTTATATATAAAGTAATTCTAATGTTTGTGAGGAAGCAATGAGTCACTAGAGAACTCAGGACAAGTGGGTGGGGACCCGTAACCTGAGACTAGATGAGAAGGATCACTGAACTGGAGATATCTGTCATCTGCTCTGTAAGGGAGGGAAGATGGGAGATATTTTTCAGACAGGAACCTAAAGATTCCCACAAAAGGGAGTACTAGCTTTAAAATAAGAAAGCAGAGATTCTGACACAAAAGGAAACTGGTACAGTGAAAGCAGACTCCAAGGAAAATGATCTCCACAATCAAGGCCACAAGGACTCTTGGGAAACTAGGCCCAGATGTTAACTTAGAATAATTATTGAAGAAGCCAAGCTTCAGTCAAAGAGTGTATTGTGACAGCTGAAAGAAAAACTCCAATATGCAATCGTTAGTCACCAGATTTTTTTTTACTTGCAATGCAAGGGAGATTAAAAAAGAGATATATCTCGGTATAAACACAATTAGATTTTGTAAGATGACTTATTTTATATAGAAAAGCAACAAAATAAAAATAAATACTCCCTCTATCCTGATTGGCTACACTAGCAAAGTGTGTGTGTATGTGTGTGTGTGTGTATGTGTGTGTGTGTGTGTGTGTGTGTGTGACCATTCTCATTATTAAGAAATTTCTACTTTATAGGTAAACCTCCTGACAGAGATATGAAGAATAGGACACACATTTTGTACATATAGGAATTTGTTTTGCTGACTCTGAATATTTGTTACAAGGATTCTGGGTTTGTTGTTTTTATTTTTTTTTCTTTTCTCCCCCATTCCCTCAGTTAGGAGGGGTGGGATGAGACAGAGAGAAAAAAAATGCTTGATAATTGAAAAAGTAAAATGAATTTTTAAAAAAATAAACCCAAAATATAAGTGATATATGGTACTGAAAATCAAAGTAGGTTATAGGTGATATACCATACAGGTGATTATAGTTAAGAAACATCTGTTCAAACAAGACACAGGGCAGAGGGAATTTTTCTCTGATAAGAATTGTTACAATTTTTGCTTTCCCAGCAAACTACAGCAGCCCTGTGATTGCTTAAATTTACTCAAATTTAAATGTTCGAATTTAAATGTTCAAATTTAGTGAAACTCCATTTCTTGTTGAAGTAACTGTGACAGCCTGCTAGGGAATATACTTCAGAGAAAAGGAATGAGGCAGAGAAAAAACAAGCCAATGTCGAGAATAAGACTTGCGGGGCAGTTAGGTGGTGCTTAGTTAGAGTACCCATTCTGGAGTTAGGAGGACCTGAGTTCAAATCTGACCTCAGACTCTTGACACTGGCTAGCTATGTGACCCTGGGCAAGTCACTTAACCCCATTGCCTAGCAAAAAACAAAACAAAAAGAATAAAACTTCCAGGGACCTGACACCACAGAGACTTCCAAGAAAGTAGAGGCATTGACTCTGAGGTTATACTGCAAGATAGCCCAGCAGAAGAATTATGGGATCCAAGTAAGAGGTAGCTGCTTTACCCAAAGACAAGGGAAAGCTTTTCGGAGGGCCAGAATAGAGCAGAAATGTGACAGGAATGCAGCACAGAAAGGAAGCTGTGTCTGGAAGGAACTGAGAATGCTGTTAGGGCCAGCAACAATGCTCATGGGAATTTAAAGTGACTCAGCAGTCCCCAACCTCAAGGTGAGTAGAGGAATGGGATCAGAGCATCCCTGAACTGGCAACACCAACCTGTGACTTCTAGAGTATCTAAAGTTAGGGTAAGAAGGCCTCCAGTGTGCTCAGTGAACCCCATGTGGTGAATTTATAGAAGGACAAGGACATAAGTCCCAGAGGATGACATTGGATGAGTCATAACCTGCACTGATGGAGAAATCATCCAGATCAATGAGCTGACAGATCATTCTGAGTATCTGAGTATGAAATATGTGCTCTATACTTTTATGTTTTGTCAGGTAGGTGGGGGGAATTTTTAATTTACTTGTTTTCATTTTTACTGATATCTTTTATTTTTATATTACTTACCTTTCTGACTGCAGCTTCCACCATTACCACCACCATGACTACACCCCTTCCCCCCCCATCAGTGATCCATCCTTCATAACAAAGAATAAAAAAAGAGTTGGGGTGGGGGTGGGGTGGGGAAAGGAAATCAGCAAAATTACACCAATCTGACTGTATATGCAATAGTCCACACCCATAATCCCTCACTTTGACAAAGAAACTGGAAAGGTTCACTTTTGTCAACTCTTCTCCCAGGACAAGCTTGGTCTTTATCATTATACAGAGTTCAGTTTGGAATACTACTTTGTTGTTATTCTTTTATTTGTTTGTTTGTTTTTTAGTTTTTAACATTTACTTCCATAAAATTGTGAGTTCTAAATTTTCTCCCCTTCCTTCTACTCCCCCTTTCCCAAGACAGTGTGAAATCTGATATAGGCTATACATGTATGATCATATTAAAAATATTTCCACATTAGTCATGTTGTAAAGAAGAATTAGAACCAAAAGGAAAAACCATGAGAAAGAAAGAGAGAGAGAGAGAGAGAGAGAGAGAGAGAGAGAGAGAGAGAGAGAGAGAGAGAGAGAGAGAGAGAATAGTATGCTTTGCTTGATTTGCATTCAGACTCCATAGCCCTTTCTCTGGATGTGGATAGCATTTTCTTTCATGAGTCTTTTGGAATTGTCTTAGATCATTGTACTGCTGAGAAGAGGTAAGTCTATCAAAGTTGGTTATCACATAATATTGGTGTTACTGTGTACAATGTTCTCCTGGTCCTACTCAATTCACTCAGCATCACTTCATTAAAGTTTTTCCAGCTTTCTCTCTTTCCTCTCGGCCCCAACGGCAGCAGCATGGGTAAGTGCTGTGGTCTTTGTACTGCTAGAAAGCTCCAAAGCCACAGGAGAGACCAAAAGTGGCATGACAAACATAAGAAAGCTCATTTGGGCACTGCCTTGAAGACCAACCCATTTAGAGGAGCATCTCACGCAAAAGGGATTGTCTTGGAAAAAGTTGGTGTGGAAGCCAAGCAGCCCAATTCTGCCATCAGGAAGTGTGTGAGAGTCCAGCTGATTAAGAACAGCAAAAAAAAAAATCACTGCCTTTGTTCCCAGTGATGGCTGCTTGAACTTTATTGAGGAAAATGATGAAGTTTTGGTTGCTGGATTTGGTCGAAAAGGTCATGCTGTTGATGATATTCCTGGAGTCCGATTCAAGGTTGTAAAAGTTGCAAATGTTTCTCTTCTGGCCTTGTACAAAGGCAAGAAGGAAAGACCAAGGTCATAAAAATTGTATGATGTCTTTGTCATAATAAAAAATGTTCATGTAACAAAAAGAAAAGTTTTTCCAGGTTTTCCTGAAGTCTATCTGTGCATCTTTTCTTACAGAACAATAGTATTCCACTACATTCATATACCACAACTTGTTCAGTTGTTCTCCAATTGATGAACATCCCCTCAATTTCCAATTCTTGGCCAGCACAAAAAGAGCTGCTATAAATGTTTTTGTACATGTGGATCCTTTTCCCTTTTTTAAGATCTTTTTTGGAATACAGACCTAGTAGTGGTATTGCTGGATCAAAGGGTACGCACAGTTTGGCTGCTCTTTGGCCATAGTTCCAAATTGCTCTCCAGAATGATTGGATCAGTTCACAACTCCACCACTTTGTTGTTATTCTTTCCATTTACATTGTAGCCATTTTGTAAATTATTTTCCTGGAACTATTCACTTCACTCTGCATCAGTTCATAGAATAATTTAGAACTGGAAGTGAACTGAGAGACCCTGAAGTCCAATTGCCTCATTTTATAGATAAGAAGCCTATCTGTAGGCTAAGATACAGAAACTGAGGCACAAAAAGGTGACTTGCCAAAGGTCACACAGCTAGTTAGTCCTTGAGGTAGGATTTGAATCCAGGTCTTTCTGACTCTAGGACATGTTCCCCATCCACTAACCATAAAATGGTGCTTCTCTGAATTTTTCATATTCATCGTTCCATATATCACATGCTATTTCATTCATACAGCACAATTTATTTAGCTATTCTTTGATCAATGGGCAACTACTTTGTTTCTAATTTTCTGTCATCACAGTGTGACAGTGAATGGTCTATGAAGGACCTTTTTGTCTTAGAACTCTTTAGGAGTGTATACCTAGCAGAAACTCATTCTTTTTTTATGCTTTTATCGTTTTTTTTCCCTCTTTCATTTCCTATTAAAGGTTCCTTTTGAAAAAGCCCACTTTGTCTCAACTGAACTAAGGGAAATGAGACTTGTGAACACACAGTGCTGGGGAAGTAGAGAAAGCAACGTGAGGGGAAAGGCTGGCGCTGGTTGTGTGAGCAGTGAGCCCACCGGGAGATCAGGAAAAGCAAATGAAGCTAAAGGAGAGATGAGTAAGGAGACAGATTGCCTGAGAGTCGAGGTTACACCTCCTTGTGCTGGCAACGCTGGTGTGAAAACTCCCGGCCAGGTGCTCAGCCCTTACAAGCTAAACAGCTTAATTTTTTTCTGCCTACGCTGGAGCTCCGAGGAGTTGGTTCACATACAGCAGACACACAAGAGACTGACATAATAAACCTTAATGCCAATTTGTTAATTTACATGGGAGATCTGGCTGGCAAGAAAACCAGTGCCGGTTGTCTACATGGGCTCTCCCTCCTGGTGGTTAAGTCCACTTAGGAGACCAATTTACAAAGAACCAGAAGGTTTCTCGGTGAGCCGAGGATTAGAACAAAGTTGGATTTTCTTTCAGGATCCTTCCATCAAGTTGTGGTAATGTGGTGAATTATCCTTCACACTGGGGGTGGTCTGCCTAAAATATTTGTAACAATCAGCTAGAATCAGAGACTCCCCCTCCCTCTCCCACCTCCCCGACCCCCCATGCACTGCCGGGTATATGCAGACTTTTATCACTTGGCTCTGCTTTTTGCAGACTCCATAATAGTATCCCAGATGTTACAATGTAGTTAAGAAGATGACAGTTTTATTTGCCTTAGTTACATTTTAGCTCGATACATATCCTGGTGATTCGAAGGTACCCTGGCTCTCGAGTAAGATTTGGGGAGTTGTCCTAGTCTCATCAAAACCCGCTTCACAGCGAAGAGAAACCACAGAGATCATTTGCATGAGTGAGAGGTTTGTGCTCTGTAAATTCATGCTTTTTACATATTTATTTATTTTATGTTTATTTCATCTCCCAGAAAATTGGCAAAGATCATAAAGGATGGAAATTGTCAGTGATAGAGGGAATATAGAAAGATTCTTTCACTCGGTGGTGTCCTTAGCACCCGTGGGTTCAATTCTCATCTCTATGCAGATGACTTCCAGAGCTATATATCCAGCCCTAAACTCTCTCTTGAGCTCCATGACTGTGTCATGAACTGCCTATTGGATATTTCGAACCCGATGTCCCATAAGCGTCTCAAATTCAACATGTCCAAAACAGACCTCCTTAGCTTTTCCCCTCTTCCAGACTTCCCTGTTGCTGTGTAGAGCACCACGTTCTTCCAGCCTTCACTCCTCTCTCACTTACCTTTGCACTTCCAGTCTGTCGCCAGATCTTTTTGTTTCTATTGCCACAATATCTTTTGAATACATCTGTCCACTCATCTCTCACTTGGATTATTGCAATAGTCTTCTGATTAGGCTCCTTGTCTCAAGTTTCTTCCCACTTCAATCCATCGGCACACAGCTGCCAAAGTGATTTACCAAAATCATGGGCAAATAATGTCATTCCTCACCCCCAACCCCACATACAGCCCCCTACTCAGAAAACTCCAGTGGCTCCCTATTACCTCTGAGAAAACCTATAAACCCCTCTGTTTGGCATTTAAAGCTCTTCAGAATCAGGCCTGTCCTGATTTCCTGGCTGCTGTGGCATGGTGGATAGAACCCTAGACCTGGAGTCAGAAAGATTTGGGTTCAGATGTGATTTCAGATATTTGTGTTAGCTGAGTGACCCTGGGCAAGTCACTTTACTCTATCTGCCTCAATTTCCTCAACTATAAAATGAGAATAATAATAGCACCTACCTCCCAGGATTGTTGTAGGATGAAATGAAATCATATTTGTAAAGCACTTATTACAGTGTCTAACACATAGTAGGTGCTTAATAAGTGCTTATTTCTTTCCTTCTTACTTCCCTTCATGTACTCTACAGTTTAGTCATCTGTGCCCTGCTTTCTATTCTTCATACGGCGCTCTATCTCCTTTCTCCATGCCTTTGCAAATATTCATCAAGTCTAAAACGCTCTTCCTTCTCACCTCTGTCTCTTAGTATCTATGGCTCTCTTCAACACTTGACTCACACAAAGGCCTTTCCTAATCCCCCCAGCTACTAGTGCTTCCCACTCTAAGGTTACTTTGTATCTACTTTGCATTATGTGTGTGTGTGTGTGTGTGTATACACACACAAATATACATACGCATATACTTTTTCTGTTGGTCAGTCATTTCATTTACGTACAACTCTTCATGAACCCATCTGGGGTTTTCTTGCCGAAGATACTGGAGTGGTTTTGCCATTTCCTTCTCCAGCTCATGTTATAGATGAGGAAACTGAGGCAAACAGGGTTAAGTGACTTATCCAGGGCCATACAGCTATTAACTGTCTAAGGCTGGATTAGAACTTAGGTCTTCCTGACTCCAGGCCTAGAACTCTATTGCTGTACCATTTAGCTATATGTTTGTATATATGTACATACATATGCCACCTATGCATATGTATATACATATAGAGAGATGGGTATATGTAGCTATAGATAGATATATAGATGTATATATAGATATATATACATACATTCATACTATATCTCTCTACCTCATATGTTTATATAGGTATATGTGTATATATGCTGTTGTTTATAAACATATTGTTTATATACATGTGTAAAGAAGTATATGCATATTTATCAAGTATATGAGTGTGTGTGATGTATGTGTGTATATATATATATGTGTGTGTGTGTGTGTGTGTGTGTACATACATACACACATATGTACCTGTATAGGTGTACATTGTCTTACCCATTGTAATGGACTACTTTTTGCTTTTGTCTTTGTATTGCTAACGTTTATGTGAGGCGATCTGACACAGTGGATAGAGTTGTCCTTCCAGTTAGGAAGACTTGAGTTCAAGTTCCACTTTTGATACATACTAGCTGCGTGACCCTGGGTAAATCACCTCTCATGCCCCAGACAACTCTCCAAGACTATAAGTTGCAGAATAGGAACTGAGTTGCATTAGTAAAGGGAGTTCCCTACTCAGAACTCCATATACTGACAAAATCAAAATTCTAAGTATTTATTATTTTCTTTTACTCTCCCAGTGTTTTATCACAGTGTCTGCCCAATAGTAAGGACTTAATAAATGCTTGTTGATTGATTTAATCTCACACCCAGAAAACTGGCAAAAAGGACAAGGATGGGAATAGTCATTGGTGGAGGGATTGCGAAAAGATAGATATAATAATGCATACAACAATACACTATTAATGGAGCTGTGAATTGATGAATAATTTTAATTATGAAACTCATTAAAATGTCCATACTTTTTGACCCAAAGATCTCACTGCCAAGTATATATCCTAAGGAGGTCAATGACAAAAAGAAAGCCTCCATACAAACCAAAAATTAAGAGCAGTCACTATTTGTAGTATCAAAAGACTGGAAACAAAGTATTTTGCGGTACATGTATGGGAGTCCTACTTAGCTGAAAGAAACAATAGATATGATGAATACAGATAAGCATCAGAAGACAAATTATCTGACACAAAGTAAAGCAAGCAGAATCAGAAAAACAGTATAAATGACCGTGATGATATAAATGGGGAAAAAAAACAAAAACAAAATGGTTGAAAGTGAATACTGTCATATGAAAATGACCAAACTTGACCTGAAACAATCAAATTAAACAAGCAATGAAAAAGCACTTAAGTATTTACTATATGCCAAACATTGTGCTAAGCTCTAGGGACACAAAGAAAAGTTTAAAAAAAAACATTCCCTGCCCTCAAGGAGCTTCCATTCTAAAGAGAGAAACTAGATAGATAGATAGATAGATAGATAGATAGATAGATAGATAGATAGATAGATAGATAGATAGATAGATGATAGATATATAGATAGATACATAGATGAGAAAAAGGGAGGGAAAAAGAAAGATGAAGAGAGATAGAGACAGAGACAGAGAGGTACAGAGAGAGAGAGAGAGAGAGAGAGAGAGAGAGAGAGAGAGAGAGAGAGAGAGAGAAAAGAGAGATGGTAGAAACAAAGTAGATAGAAGGTAACCTTAGAGGGAGAGGCACTAGCAGCTGGGAGGATTGGGAAAGGTTTTTTGAAGGTTATGCTTGAGTTAAGTATTGAAAAAGCCAGGGATCCTAAGAGGCAGAGGTGAGGAGGAAGGACATTTTAGGCTTGGGGAATGTTTGCAAAGGTAGGAGATAGAGAATTGTGTGAAGAAGTAGGTCAGGGATGACTGGATTATAGAGTATGTGGAGGGGAATAGAGTGTATGACGAGAGAGGCAGGATATGGCAGGTTGTAAAGAGCTTTAAATGCCAACAAAGGACTTTTGTAATTATTCCTAGAAGTAATAGGGAGCCATTGGAGTTGGGGGGGGCAAGGTGGGAGAAACTTGAGACAGGGTGACTAATTAGAAGGCTATTGCAATAGTCTAGGTGAACTGGGCATGCTGTTGCATGCCTGTGATCTCAGCCACCAGGGAAGCTAAGGGGGAGTTGATTGATCAATTGAGCTCAAGAGTTCTGAGCTGTAGTGGGAGTGCAACTTCTCTGGGTCTTGAAGTCCCCTCACCACTCCCACCACCCCAGTCCTGTGCATTCCTTACAAGGAAAAATGCAGAAATAGTTGAGTCCCAGTTAGCTGTGATTATCGATCCTTTACTGTACTTTCTGATTATAAAATCTTGTAACCTGGGTCAAGTTCTTTTTTTTCAATGAACTCGCACCCTAAAGAAGCTGATTTATCTCCCTTAATTCCTCCTGTCTAGGAGAAGCAAACTCAGAGCCTGAATAGAAAATTAGTGGGATAGAGAGGAACCTATTGCTATTTCTCTTTAAAGTCAGAACCCCAACTCCCAATCAAATTTCTAATTCTCAAGCATAGACAAAATGAGGACACACATGGACACTGAAGATAAAGCATTTTATTTGAAATAAGCTTCCAGTTCTTTCTTTAGTACTCATCTCCCTCTTCTTCCTCCCCTTCCCCTTCCAAACTATCCATGCCCACCTCCTCGTAATCTTTCTCCAGGGCTGCCATGTCCTCCCGAGCCTCAGAGAATTCTCCCTCCTCCATGCCCTCACCTACATACCAATGCACGAATGCCCTCTTCGCATACATCAGGTCAAACTTGTGGTCCAGACGAGCCCAGGCTTCTGCAATGGCTGTTGTGTTGCTCAGCATACACACTGCTCTCTGTACCTTGGCCAGATCCCCACCAGGGACCACAGTGGGTGGCTGGTAGTTGATGCCAACCTTGAAGCCAGTAGGGCACCAGTCCACAAACTGAATGGTACGCTTGGTCTTGATGGTGGCGATGGCAGCATTGACATCTTTGGGCACCACATCGCCACGGTACAGAAGACAGCAGGCCATGTATTTGCCATGACGAGGGTCACACTTCACCATCTGGTTGGCTGGCTCAAAGCAGGCATTGGTGATCTCAGACACTGAGAGCTGCTCGTGGTAGGCCTTCTCAGCAGAGATGACAGGTGCATAGGTTGCCAGGGGGGAAATGGATTCGAGGGTAGGGCACCAAGTTGGTCTGGAACTCTGTGAGGTCCACATTAAGGGCACCATCAAAACGAAGAGATGCTGTGATAGAGGAGACAATTTGGCCGATAAGACGGTTGAGGTTGGTGTAGGTGGGACGTTCGATGTCCAGATTTCGGCGGCAGATATCATAGATGGCCTCATTGTCCACCATGAAGGCACAATCTGAGTGCTCGAGGGTGGTGTGGGTAGTCAGGATGGAGTTGTAGGGCTCTACCACAGCTGTAGAAATCTGGGGGGCTGGATAGATGGAGAACTCTAGCTTGGACTTCTTGCCATAGTCGACTGAGAGCCGTTCCATCAACAGGGAGGTGAAGCCAGAGCCCGTGCCACCCCCAAAGCTGTGGAAGATGAGGAAGCCCTGGAGTCCTGTACACTGGTCAGCCTAGAAATGAGGACGGGGGTGGAAAGGAGAAATAGAAGAATGGACATGATACCACAAGCATGAAAAAGAAAGAAAATGTTTTTTAAATCCTTAAAGTTTTTTTTTTAGACTTTTGCAAAACCTCCACAAGAGATAATCTGAAGTGAGCAAAGGGCTCCTTTTTGCTATCCCTCAAAGAGAAAAACACTATCTTCTCATCTTGCTCCCCTTTCACTCTGGAAAAATTCCTGACATTCTAAGGGATCAATTTTCCTTAAACACTCTAGGCATGACTTAAAGAGCCAGTCTATCCCCTTCCATCTTCCTAACTTTAGATTCCCTCTGTTTCACCCTATTTCTGGAAGTCCTATGTATTAATTGATCAACAAGGAAAAAGGGTGGTCTTTTGCTCCAGTGAGTCAATCACTGGATAATCAGCAAATGGCCAGGGCAAGTTGTATCCCTTTCATCCATTATAACCAATTATTGAGATCCTTGGGATTCCACTAGCTACATATCTGTAATCACCATGTAGGATTTCCCTTAGGGTATTTCTGGATTTCATAGCTCTCTCAACCAATCCACTGGCCTCTGTGTCTTGAGCTTTTACCCACCATGTGTTTTGCACTGTAGTGGGATATATACAAGATATGATTTTAAAAAAATATTCCCACTTTTCAATCCTGTTAGAGGCCAGACATTCACTCAGTCCTTATTCTACTTCTGGGATCTCAAAAGGGCACTTTATTCTTAAAGTACAATTTCCTTTTTCCCTGCCTGATCCTGCTTCTTCTCCATTGCAAGGGGAAAGAACCTAGCTATCCTGATGCCCCATGACCCTCTTCTTCTTTGAATAGGCAATCCTTACCAGCTTTCGGATTCGATCCAGTACCAAGTCAATAAGTTCTTTTCCAATAGTGTAGTGGCCTCGTGCATAATTGTTGGCGGCATCTTCCTTGCCTGTGATGAGCTGCTCTGGATGGAAGAGCTGGCGGTAGGTGCCAGTCCGAACCTCATCTGCAATGAGCATAAACTTTGGTCCTTCCATGTCTTATGGTCTGGTTGGGGATAGAGTAGCTAGAGACCAGGGGGCTTGAAGCCACCCTGCCTTTGTAGCCTCATCTAGAATGTGGTTGTAGCTATGCCCTTCCATTCAATTCAATAAACATTTACTAATGATAACATATGCAAGGCAGTGTGCTTTACTTTGAAGTTGGGGGGGGGGCGGAATAGAGGATCATCTTGAACCAAAGTGGGCCCTTGAAGCTTAGGGACTAAAAGGCAATCTATATCCTCAGAGTTTTAGCTCCAATTAGTTCCAGTAATAAGGGAAACTAAAAATAAGGAACAGTTACAGCTCCTAAGTTCTCTAGTAAGATTAAAACATCTGGATGTGGTAACTAGGGCCATGGGTAAGGTCATAGATGGAACGGAACTCACCAATCACTGTGGGCTCCAGGTCCACAAAGACAGCTCGAGGCACATGCTTGCCAGCCCCAGTTTCACTGAAGAAGGTGTTGAAGGAGTCATCACCCCCTCCAATGGTCTTGTCACTGGGCATCTGCCCATCAGGCTGAATGCCATGTTCCAGGCAGTACAGCTCCCAACAGGCATTACCAATCTGCACACCAGCCTGACCCACATGAATTGAGATACACTCACGCTAGGAGAGAAGGGAGGAAAGAGTACTTGTAGGAGAGAGAAGCTGGTCTTGCCCAGAAGAAGGTTGCCTTCCTGCTGAGTACAGATTATCATAAAATTTTTAGGACTAGAAAAGACTGTAGAAAACCATCCACTCCAAAACCTTAATTTTACAGATAAGGAAATTGAACTCTGAGAGGGAGAACTGAAGCTCCTGGGATGGGGAGAAAGGTCTAAATAATCCAGTCTTTTTTCTGCCATAAGAATTTTCTGGTGGCCAATTTATGAAAAACAAACAATTCAACCAACAAGTATCTAATATGTTTATTACGCAAGGTATTGAGAATTAAAGAAAACAATAACATTGTCTTTGCCCTTGAGGGGCTTATCAGAAGTAGGATCTGATGCTAGGTCCCTGGATTCCTAATTCAGCGCTGTTCCTACTGTGTTCCACTGAAAGGGAGTGTGTCTCAGGCATTGGGAATAGCCTGTGTAAAATGACAGAGATGTGAGAGTATGGGATGAGAAAAGGGAAACGATTAGTAAGAGTTTGGCTGGGATGCAGAGACTGTAAAGAGGAGTAGTATGGAATTGCACTGGAAGAGAAAGTTGGAGCCAAATTGTGGAGGGTCTTAGGTGAAGATCAAAAGAGCTCATATTTTATTCTTGAGAGTAACGAGGAGCCACCAAACGTCCTTGAGCAAGGGAGTGGCATGGTCAAACATGTGCCTTAGGATTCTGGCAGCTATTAGAAGTTCTGGATGGGGAGAAAGGGGTGGGGAAGGATGATGCAGGGAGATGCATTTGGAAGCTATTACAATGATCCAGGTAAAACATGATGTGGGTCTGAAACACAATGGTGGTAATGTGAATAGAGAGGAAAGAATGGCTGCCAGGGATATTTTTGCCAAGATAGAATTAGAAGGACTTGGCAATGAATGGGGGAGGGGAGGGAGGAAGAGGGAAGTGTCAAAGACAAATTCAAGGTTTCAGCTTAAGTAACTGGGAGAATGGTTAACGCCATCATTAGAACTAGGAATGCTGCTTAAAAAAAAAAAGGGAAAAAAGGGGACAGCTAGGTGGCGCACTGGATAGAGCACCGGCCCTGAAGTCAGGAGTACCTGAGTTCAAATGCGGTCTCAGACCAAACACTTGACACTTACCAGCTGTGTGACCCTGGGCAAGTCACTTAACCCCAACTGCCTTAAAAAAAAAGAGAGAGAACTAGGAATGCTGGAAGGACGGTTTTAAAGTAAAGATAACGACTTGTTGGATTTGAGATGCCAATTGGGAATCCAGATGGAGTTATTGAACATGCCACTGGAAATGTGAGATTAAAGCTGAAGGAGATCAGATGTTGACTAGAGGGTATTAGATTCTAGGGTGCCCCCAACCAAGTTTGGAGCAGAAAGGCTGAAACCCTACAGGGGAGTTGTGGATTGGGAAGTCTTGGCTCCAATGACTAAGCATTTTGGAGAAAGTTGTGCAGAGCCTGGCAAAGAAAGATACAGTTACTTCCTGCCAGAAAGGAAATGAGGGGTCCTTTGAGGGAGCGGAGTGACCCAAGTGAGAGTGCAGGAGACAAGAGATAAGGAGGAGGAAAAGTAGAGAGGACAGCCTTTTTTGTTCATGTTTAAGCTAGAAAAATCCATAGAAAAGGCAGAAAGTAGGCCTGGAATCTAGGAATACCCAGGTAGAGCTCAGTGAACATGCTGAGACTTTTTTCTCTCTTAGCTATGAATGTTTCTGGAGTATAATATGTCTTCAGAAAAGGTCCCCTGATTCCCTCATCATGTGACTTAAGACTGGTGGTCAAGGAAGTCTTGAATTTTTAGTCTTTGGTCTGAAGCAGATCTGGAATGGTTTTTGAGGCCCAACAGAGAGAAAGGAAAAAGTAGCCCCCCATGCACCTCCAGAGCATTCTGTGGGGACTAGAGAAGCTAAACTCTTTTCTTGCCTCCCAATTTTGCCCCTCCCCCAACTCCCAGATTTCTCAGGATTTAGAGATGAAAAGACCTTAGAAAACATAAGATAATAGATTTAGAGTTGGGAGGGACCTTGGCGGCCAGCTAGTCTAACACTTTCATTTTACAGATGAGGAAACTGAGGCACAAAGAGACTAAGTGACTGGGCCAAGGTATACACATGTGTAGAGAGCAGAAGATCTGGGATTTGAGCTAAGGCCCTCTGATTCCAAGGTCAATGCTCTTTCCACCAAACCACACTAATCCAACTCCCTCAACTTGCAGATAAGGAAACTGAGACCTAGAGTGGTTCTGACTTGCCAAAAGTTAAAGTTAGTGAATAGAAGGGCTAGGATTCAAACTCAGGTCCTCTAGCCCTATACCCAGCAGCTCTTTCCACTGTACTACACTGCCTCTCTGTCTCAGAGTAAGAATGAAATGAACTCTTAGTTGGTATTGGCCTATAAGGTGGAAGTTATTCCTATCCCCTAACAACAATGGTGTAGAAAGAGTTCCATGGGGTTAGCATGATCTGGTATTCATGGCATTGATTGAAATGAGTAGAACGTTAGGGAGATGCAGCTGAAAAGATAGATTGGAGCCAGATTGCAGAGGGCCTTAAATATTAAGCTAAGGAATTTATAATTTGCCCTATAGACAATGGCTACCAAAAGCTAACTTCAAATGAAGGTGTGATATTGTTATACCTATGCATGGGATAATTACCTGAGAAGCTGTCTGAAGGAGGTGTTGAGGAGGAGATGCATTCAGATGAGAACAGAGGGATCAAAGGGAAAGGAAAGCAGATATGTACACTGGAATTTGTGGAGAAAATGAGGAAAGCCACTTCTAAAGAGGATTTGTCTTAATTCACAAACAGGTGGTCAGGTAAAAGGCTGACCTGGGTCCATTTCAGAGTGTTTTGGAATAGGTTCCTGGAGGACCAGACTCTATATAAAAATTTCTGGGCACCTTCTGTGTTCTCTGTAATTGATATTACTTTTGGGGGGGTACCCCTGAACTTCTTGTGCTCACCATTCTTAGCTGAAAGAGTGTGCACATATAGTTCAGACTCCAGGGTCCCATTCCCAAAACCTATCTCCCCATTCCTAAATCTGCTCCTCCCTAAAAAACAAAAAGCAAAACCAAAAAACACCTTTTTTCTTGACTTTAAATCTCAACTGTCTCTAGCATACAATCTCAACTTTTCATATAAATGTATACTGTTTATTCTGTAGTTACTCCTTCTCCTAGCAACACACCATAGCACACCCCAAACACAGACACAGATACACACGCCGCGTGCGCGCGCACATGCGCGCGCACACACACACACACACACACATGCCCCACTACTCTCAAGAGAAGCTACCTGAAGGAGGCACTGGGGAGGAGATATATTCAGACGAAAGCAGAAAGGTCAAAGGGAAAAGGAAGCAGATGGGTAGCTCCATTGGAATTTGTGGGGAAAATAAAGGAATCCACTTCTAAAGAGAATTTGTCTTAAGTCACAAACAGCTGGTCAGGTAAGAGGCTGAGGTGAGTGCATTTCAGAGAACTTTAGAGCAGATTCTTGAAAGCCAAACTCGAGCTTTCATGATTAAAGAAAACAAACTTTCTGGGCTCATTCTGTTTTCCCTATAATTGCCATTACAGTTTTTTGAGGAACCCCTGAACTTTTTCTTGTGCTTGCTATTCTTAGTTGGGAGAGTGCAAATATGGTTTAGACCCCAGTGGCCCATTCCCAAAACCTGTCTCCCCATTCCTAAAACTCCTCCCCCCTCAGAAAAACAAAACAACTTTCCTCTTTAGTGGTAATTTCTCCTGCCTCTGGGACACTCATTCTTTCACAGAACCAGAGATTGTATATCGTGCAGTTGCTTCTCCTCCTAGCAACACACCAGAGCACACCCCAACACACACACACACACACACACACACCCAATACTCTCAAGATTTCCCTTACACTAGCAAACAGCCCCACTCTTTGACCCTCACCGTGGGTTGCCGGTGACCACTTAAGCCCCTGCCTTAGACTTACCATCCTGCTCTGATGTTGTATGCCAAGTGAGGCTTCAGGAGTGATAGTGATCTGAATGAGTGAGAACAGCCCTAGAGATTCCTCCTTATACTCTGGGTTAGGCTCCCGAGGGGGTGTGTTGTTAGAAACAACCCCAGGGGGTCAGACTCGTTGACTTAGTTACCATGGCTTGATCTTGAGCTTGTTTGGCCCACAGCCCAAACAGAAAGGTGGGGGGTGGAGAAGGTGCCCTGAGCCTCAGTAACAGTGGGCATGGTAACAGGGCAGGTACACAGAGCGTATATTGTCCCAGCCTGTTTCCTGATGTAACATCCTAGAGGCCCTCATAGACTAGAGGAAAATGCCTAGGGGAATTCTTCCCTTAAACTCTAGCCCCAAATGGCTAGTTGGAGTTTGGGGATGGGGATGAAATGCCTGCATGGATCCAGAACGAATAAAGCCAAAGGGAAGTGAACACAGTACATAAGTAGGGTTGATAATTGAAGGAAATTTGGAATTCTGTGAAACATCCATTTCCCCATGCATAGTGTAATGAAAAGACCTTCAGATTTGGCACCAGAAGGCTTGGGTTCAAAGGGCAACTCTATCAATTACTAACTGGGTTACTTTGGACAAGTTACTCTCTCAATCTCTGTTTTCTTAACTATCAAATGAGATGGTTGGATTTCGTGATTTCTAAAGTGACTTCCAATTCTAAATGCTATGAACATGAAAGGTGAAACTCATTTCAAAGCTCAACCCTTCCATAAACACCATAGTCAGCCTTCTCCTATCATAGAAAGAAGCTTTGAAAGATTGTACCTGTGCAAAATGATGAAGTATGCCAGGTTGGCTTTTAGTACCATTCTATTGCCTCTCTTTCTGTTGCCCCACTTTGTCCACTTCCCCTCTTAAACAGCACTCATGCTATAACAGATAAAGAACTGGATTTGAAGTCGGGAATGCTTCATAGACTGCTTCAGAAACAGTACCAGTGTGACTTTGGGCAAGTCATTTAACATCCCTGAGCCTCAGTTTTCTTATCCATAAAACGGGGACAATAATAGTTGCCCCTTCACAGTACTCTATTAGTGATCAAATTAGATCATGTATGTACAGTGTTTTGTAAGTCTTATAGCATTATATAACTGTGAGTTGTAATTATTATAGGTCATTCCCCTCACTCCCTCTCCTCAAGGCAAAAATGAAGATTAAAAGTATCCAGTAAGTCATTCACTCTATTAGTGATAATGTATTTGTTCTCTCTTTACATTACTTTAAAATAAGATCATCTGGACATAGTAATGCTTGGGGGGAGAGGGGCTTAGGGGTGTGGAGCTAACGTGGTGATGGTGATGAGATTTCTTTATTTTAGGTTTTCATTGTTCTATTCTATGGATAAAATGGATTTGCCTGTTTAGAGCATTGGGAGACATTAACAGCTCATCAAAAATAAGAACTCCTTAAGTCTCACCCATTGAGGATAAATTGGTTTAGACTGGTTGGCAATAAATTGGTTGGCTCAGAGGGAGTCATTTTGTGATTTGTGTTAGACCTATAAAAGAGAACGTTATCATACATTCATATATACATAACATTGCATATCCAGGCTCCTTTTCTTTTTTTTTTTTGCATTTTCCCTCATTTTCTGAGAACAGGTCAGAACCTGTTCTGAGCAAACATTGGACTTTCGCGGCTTGGAGGGAGGAGATGAGCACTGACACAGGGAAGAATCTGACCCCCTCTTTACACTGGGAAGGGGATTGACACCCCCCAAATTAGAGTATTTCACCAATGCTCCTCTAACATTGGGGCCAAGATTGATATCTCTAAAACAAGACTAGGAAGAGTCAGGGAACAGACATAAACAAGGATGTTGCTAAGGGCTTTAGGCACTCTGGTCTTCAGGCCATAGTGGGGAAAATGCTGGATTTCGAGTCAGAGGACCTGAGTTCAAGTCCTGACCATCATTTCCTTAGTTGTATCACCTTGAGTAAGTCACCTAATCAATCTCTCCAGGCATCAGATGTACTAAGAGGTGCTAAATAACCTCTAAGCTCTCTTCCAACTAACAATCCATGATCCTATAATTCTGCCATGGACTAGGACTCCATAGAAGCTTATTAAGTTTGGAGGTCAGGGCAGCTCCAGGGATACTAATAATTGAGAGACAGAGATGCTCAGATATTTTCACATATAAGAAAGGGGTCCTGCTGATGACTGTGTGATTGCTTTCAAAGCCCGGAGGTCATAGGCATAGAGAAATCAATTAGGAAACTGGAAGTTTCTAGTCTGGAATATTTCTACAGCTTTCAATATACAGGCAAAGAGACCCAAGGGAAAGGATAGGGAATAAGGGGGTGGTCCAAGGCATGAGCAGAGTAAATACCCAGGGAACATAGAGATCATTGGACAGATGAAAACAAAGCCAGAAACATCAGAGGTTTTCTAGAATACAATCAATTGGGGGGTGGGGTGGGGAGTTGCCTTTCTAGTAGCCCCAAATTGCTTATTCTTTTGTGAGAGTCTAAGCCTTCATAATAGTATCATCAATTTGTAATGCCTTAATACTCATCTCTAGAGTGAAAGGACTAATTGGAGTGTTAGTTACTCCAAGTTCTTTTTGCTTCTAAAAGAACAAGCCACAGGGTGATACCGTGCCCCTAGAGGACTGGGGAAACCAGAAAGGTAGGACCCACTGAAAAAGAAAGGGAAATGGTGTCTACTGTTTATGGACTATTATGAGTCTTTTTTGTGTTTTCTTCATTTTCTGTGGCAAGAAGGTTGTCTTATTACCAATATATACATTGTAACCCTGAATGTTTATGTAGGAGCTAAGGTCCCTTTTAACCACATTTGTAGAGCCCAGACTGTATTTAGAGATTTGCAAAACGGAACTCTTATTCCTTGCCTCCTTCCTCCCTGCCACCCTATTGTCTTCAATCCAGTGATACTGGCTTCATTGCTGTATTGAACAAGACATTCCATCTGCTAGCTCCAGGCATTTTTCTCTGTTATCCCCGTCCGTCCGTAGTCCCCCCACCCCCATGCCTGAAATACTCTCTCTATCTCCACCTCCTGGTTTCCTTAGCTTCTCAGCTAAAGACCATTCTTCTACAAAAAAGCCTTTCTCGTTCTCCAATCTTAATGTCTTCCTTCTGAGATTATCTCCAATTTATCTTGTATATATCTTGTTTGTATGATAGTATCCCCCATTAGACTGTGAGTTCCTTGAGGGCAAGGAATGTTTTTGGCTTTCTTTGTATGCCCAACATTTAGAACAGTGCCTGGCACATAATAGGCATTTAATAAATGCTTGACTGACCAGTAGGGACATAATGAGTTAGAGAGAGTGATTTGGAAGACTGAACCCTAGATTCAACCCAGTCCATGTGAATTCAGAGACTAGGTTGCTGGGACACAGTTACATGTTGGGAGTTTGTCTGGGAGTCCAAACTGAGGATTATAGCTCCCTGGCAGGGCTTCCTAGAAAGAGAAAAAGAATCCCCCTAAAATGAATTTCTTGTGGTGTTATTTCAACACAGTGGCAACTGAAATAATATGAGGTAATAAATACGGCCTTCTCAGAACATCTCAAATCCCTAGGTGGCACAGAGGTTGTCTCAGAACCTTACTGACCCCAGGGTAAGTCACTTGATTTATTTTAGCCTCAGTTTCTTCATCTGTAAAATGAGGATTTTATATGTAATAGTACCTACCTGACATGGTTGTTGTTGTTAGGATCAAAATATCTGTACAGCATTTTGTAAACCTTAAAATGCTATATGAATGCTAGCTATTATTAGGTTAAGTTATAAGTATGGCTCACCTAGACTTTAAGGGTCATAGACCAAAGGCTCCAAGGGTAGAAATGTTCTTTCTCACATTTACTTACTTGAGGTCCAGAGGTAGAAAACTGCATTGATTAAGGGGGTACCTACACAGAGGACATCCTAATCCATCAAAATATTGAGGTGCAAGAAATCTTCACTTTCTAGACAGAATCAGATACTCTAGAAAATAAAAGAGTCAGCTACACAGGATATTTCCTTTGTGGATACATGGTTCTCAGGGACTCCTGTTTGAAGAGGGCAATTTTGGGGGTCACTTTCTAGTTGCTTTCTAGTACCTAATTTTTTTCCCAACTAGGCTTGTAGTTAGAGAGGCAGTATGATAGAGGGATATACTGAGGACCTTGTTTCAAATCCTTTCTCTGTTACTTAATACTTCCGGGGCCTAGCCAAGTCATTTAACCTCTTACAGTCAGTTTCTTATTTGTTGTTGTTGTTCCTTTGTTTTCAAGGACCAACGACATCATGAGTGCTGTCTAGACTTGTGTGTGAATTGAATTTAAGTGAGGCAAAGCTGCACAAAGTCATCAGCCAGAATCATCCAAGTCCAGGGCCAGGGCAAAAGTCAACATAACTGGGATTCAGTGGTTGACCTTAGCATCTTCTCTGTCTGGCCAAGCTCTAAGCGCTCCACAGTATTTGTTTCAGCCACCTTCATGGCCATTGGAACAAATTGTTCTCATTTGCCCATTCTTCTGGGGGAAAGTTTTCACATGCTTGGGGTAAACATCCTCCTAACTCACAGACAGGTTTGGGACCTGTCAGTTTTCCTCAGCCTGCTTTAGCCTGTCTGCTGAGATGGTTCTACCAGGGTATGGCCACTGCCCAGGCTACATCTTCTTGGAGCCATAGGTGATAGTTGAGTACCTGATGGACACCAAAGGTGGATAAGCAGCCCTGAAAAAAGCTCAGCAAGCCCTCACACCAGAGGCCCTAGTCCTTCCTGAATGCCCCATCCCCCCCCATTTGTAAAATAAGGGCAGTAAACTAAATCACCTCTAACTTCCCTTCTAGCTCTAAATCTATGATTCTACTGATTGATGATTAGGTCTTATAGGCCTTATAGTTCAGTCTGATCATTATCTAATGTGAATGGGAAACTTCTCTAAAAAGCAAAAGAGATCTAGCAGGGTAGCAACATAACATTAGGGAGCAAAACCATTCTGGCCAAATGGAACTATCTCACAAATGCACTCTGATCACATATCTACCTATCTCTCTTTAGCCAGTCTACTAGCCAGGACAAGACACTTGACCTCTTTCAGCCT